CGACCAAACGAAACTAACCGACGTCATTCGACGCGAAGCAACATGGAATCGACGCCAATCGACCCTGCATAGGCGTTGTCGACGCTATAGCCGACGCTCTCTCATCATCGACTACGAAACGCTAGGATACTCTAGTTCACTCTAGAGTGAAGGGACCCACGGACACACAAATAAATCGACACACATCCCAGTAGCCCCTATATATTTACACATGCTCTGGATTTTGGTCTGCCCCAACCCTGCACACATTTTACCAACGTGTGCGTGTCTGCGTCTGTGCCTGTGTCTGTGTCTGTGTCTGTCCCTGCGTCTGCCTATGTCTGTGTCTGTGCCTGTGTCTATATGTGTCTGTGTGTGTGTCTGTGTCTGTGTCTGTTTATATGTCTGTCTATGTCTGTCTGTGTCTGTCTATGTCCGTGTCTGTCTGTGTCTGTGTCTATGTCTGTATATGTGTCTGTGTCTTTGTATGTGTCTGCGTCTGTGTCTGTGTCTGTGTCTGTGCCTGTACCTGCTCTGTGTCTGTGTCTGCGTCTGCGCCTTTGTCTGTGTCTGTGTCTGTCTGTGTCTGCGTCTGTGTCTGTCTCTGGGCCTGGGTCTGTGTCTGTGTCTGTGTCTCTGTCTGTTTCTGCGCCTGTGTCTGTGCCTGTGTCTGTGTATGTGCCGCTGTCTGTCTGCGCCTGTGTCTGAGTATGTGCTTGTGTTTGTGTTCGTGTCTGAGTTTGTGTTCGTGTCTGCGTCTGTGTCTGTATGATTGCTTATGTTGTGTTTGTGTTCGTGTTCGTGCTTCTGTGTTCGTGTTCGTGTTTATGTTAATGTTCGTGTTAGTGCGTGCGAGTGTCTGTCTTTGTGTGTATGTACATGTGTGCGTGTGTGTGTATCTGGGTGCGTGTGTGTGTGCGATGTGTGGTGTGTATGTCTGGTGTGTATGTATGGTGTGTGTGGTGTGTGGCGTGTGCGTGCGTCCGTGCGTGCGTGAGTGCGTGTGTGTAGTGTGGTATGTGTATGTATGGTGTGTATGGTGTGTGAGAGAATGTGCTTGCGTGCGTGCGTGCGTGCGCGCGTGCGCGCGTGCGTGTGTGGGTGGGTGGGTGGGTGGTCTCTGTGTGCGCGCGAGTGCGTGCGGGCGGGCGGGCGTGCGTGCGCGCATGTGTGTGTGTGCGCGTGTGCTGGTATGTTTGCGTGTGTGGGTGTGCGCGCGTGTGTGCGCGCGTGTGTGTGTGTGTGTTTGTGTGTGGGTGTGCCTGTCTCTGTGTACGGTACATCGACAAAATGTTGCACCACCTGGTGTTGTCAAGAAAGCAAGCCGATTTTGCAATGGATGTTCGCTTCCACCCCCCCCTCCCCCCAATCTTAACATTGGCTGCGGTCCCGGGTTCATCGAAACGGCTCGGTGGTGCAACATTCTGTCGCGAGCCCTGAGGGGGGCGCCAAGGGACCTTTGCCATGTGCCCAATATTAAGATCAGGGGGAGGGGGGGTGAGGAGCAATGCAAAACAGCTGACAATGCGCGGCAAAAGTGGTGCAACATGTCGTCGACGTACGGTATGAATGAATGAATGAATGAATGTGTGTGTGTGTTGTGTTGTGTTGTGTTGTGATGTGATGTGTTGTGTTGTATTGTATGTTGTGTTGTGCGTTGTGTGCTGTGCCTTGTGTGTGTGCTAGTGTGTGTGTCTGTGCCTCGTCTGTCCCTCCCGGGGAGACTTCAGACCCGGAGCCTCGACTCTCAGGCTGTCTCGGGCGCTCCCGCGGGGGTGGCGGCCCCCAGAGGCACAGCCAACCCGTTTAATGAGGATGCGCAGTAAGGATCCTGAGGATGGGCCTTCGGGGGCCATGCTGACGTGACTCGAACGAGGTTGGCCAACGAAAGTCGCCAAGCATGGGCCGAAGGGGCAAGGATGCAACAAGAGACTTGGAAAACTGCTTATCCTTACTATGCGAATTGACTGTAAGCTTCCGGCACATGCTGCCATGACTTCTTGCGACTCCTGGGGGTACCGTCGACTACAGTCGGACCTAGGCCGGAAGAACATCCTTTCAGAACATGAGACCCTCCGTGGGCCAAAACAAGCACAACATCCAAGGGCACCCTCCCAAGGATGCACAAGAACTTCCAACACACACGAAGAACACTACGGCACTCTCACCGAACCGACCTCGATGTTACCTATACGCCCACCCTTCGGGTGATAAGGAGGCTCGGGGGGGGGAGGAACCAACGTCTCACTCGATCGGTCTCACTATGGATCTCACTATCGATCTCGCTATCGGTCTCGCTCGATCGATCTCACTGAATCGATCTCACAATCGATCTCACTCGATCTATTTCATCCGATCGATCTCACAATCGATCTGACTATCGATCTCACAATCGATCTCACTATCGATCTCACAATATATCTCACACTCGGTCACACTATCGATCTCACTATCGATATCACAATCGATCTCACAATCAACGACATCATCATCATTATCATCAACATCATCGTCATCAACGTCATCAATATCATCATTATCATCATCACCATCATCGGGACACCATCATCATCATCACCTCATAACCATCATCATCAACATCATCAGCATCACCATCATCATCATCATCATCATCATCATCATCATCATCATCATCATCATCATCATCGGGACAACATCATCATCGTCATCATCGGAACACCACCAGCATCATCACCATCATCACCATGCCACCATCATCATCATGAACAACATCATCAACATCATCATCATTTGGACACCATCATCATCACCAGCAACATCATCATCATCAACAACATCATCATCGGGACACCATCATCGTCACCATCATCATCATCACCATCATCATCACTGGGACACCATCATCACCATCAACATCAGCAGCATCACCATCATTGGGCCACCATCATCAAAACCATCATCATCACCTCATCATCATCCTCATCATCAACATCTCCATCATCTGGACACCATCATCGTCATCATCATCAACATCATCATCATCATCATCGGGACACCCTCATCATCATCATCACCACCGTCATCATTAACAGCAGCATCATCAACCTCATCACCATCATCATCGGGACACCATTATCATCATCAGTTTCTGCATCATCACCATCATCATCCCATCATCTCATCATCATCAACATTATCAGGATCATCAACATCAGCATCATTATCTGGACACCCTCATCATCAGCAACATCAGCATCATCAACATCAGCATCATCACCATCATCCTCGGGACACCATCGTCATCACCACCATGGCCATCATCATCATCATCACCAACATCATCATCATCATCATCATCATCATCGCGACACCATCAGCGTCACCATTATCATGATCAACGTCATCATCGGGGCACCATCATCATCATCATGGGAACACCACCATCATCATCACCATCATCAGCATCCCATCATCATCATCATGAACAACGTCATCAAAATCATCATCCTCTGGACACCATCATCATCAACAACACCATCATCGTGAACAGCATCGTCATCGGGACACCATCATCATCATAATCAGCATCATCATCATCATCATCATCATCATCATCATCATCGGAACACCATCATCATCAGCACCATCAGCATCATCATCATCATCAGCATCATCATCGGGCCACCATCAGCAAAATCATCATCACCTCATCATCCTCATCGTCAACATCATCATCATCATCATCGGGACACCATCATCACCATCATCATCAGCATCATCATCATCATCGGGACACCATCATCATCACCACCATCATCATCAACAGCATCATCATCAACCTCACCATCATCATCATCATCATCATCATCATCATCATCGGGACACCATCATCACCATCATCATCATCATCATCATCATCTCATCATCTCATCATCATCAACATCATCAGGACCATCAGCATCATCATCATCATCATAATCATCATCATCGGGACACCATCATCGTCATCATCACCAGCAGCAGCAGCAACATCAGCATAACCATCACCATCATCATCATCGGGACACTATCATCATCACCACCATGGCAATCATCATCATCAACATCATCATCATCATCAACATCATCATCATCATCATCATCATCATCATCATCAGCATCAGCATCAGCATCAGCATCAGCATCAGCATCAGCATCAGCATCATCATCATCATCATCATCATCATCATCATCATCATCATCATCATCTGGACACCGACGGGACACCGGCGGGACACCGCGCGGCACCGGTTGCCGGAAGGGAGACTTTTGGTCTGGCCGCGCCTCAGCCAGACGCGGGGCACTTCTCGCCCCGCCCACGCAGCTTCGCCTCGCCCGCACACACTGCACGCACGAACACGAAACCGAAACCGATTTCCGGGTAGGGGGGCTCTCCGTTCCTCTTCGATCTCACCCCCTCACCTCCGATAATTACCTCGGTCCGACTGTACACAGTCGTGCTCCTGTATGCAAGGGTGCCCTGTGGATCGCGGCCTTCGGGGGGCATGGGGGGGGTGTTGAGGCCCTAATCGAGGGCGAAAGCCGCTGGAGGCCAGCGGGGGGGCCCAGTGGGGCCGCACCAAACTCCCCATCGCTCGGACGTCTCCCTGCACAGATATTCGATGTCGTGCGCGCATTTTTCGCAAGATGCTCCAAGATGCTCCTCGATGGTTCTCGCCGAGAAATGCGCACGCCCGAGCCATGCCAAGCGTACGGTCACACTGGCGAAGAGCACTCGTAAATACTATTGTTGAACCTCTGGCGCGTAGCGGTCGCCACCCGGCCCCCCCCCTCCACATGCTGGTGCTCGCGTGCATACTTTTGCGATCGCAACGCGCTCCCGCCCCGAAAGGCCCCACCCAGGGCCCCAGCCCCCCCCACCAAGGGGGTAACGACCGCTACAAGAACTTATGAAAAAAACATCTCTGGCGTGTAATCGATGATGGAACACCACGGACGCAATGAACCCCTCCAGACGCCGCCCCAGGAAGGGGATCCGCCTCCGTGGCCAGGCCCGCGGCCCCCTGGCGCACTCTTAATGTGCTGCTCCTGGCCGGCCTCATCGTACATCAGCAGCGCCTCGCCGAAGCCCGTGCCCACGCACCCACGAGCACACACGCACACTTTCTTCGTCGCGTCCCCGCGCGTAGCGACAGGGCGTAGAAGGATAAGCACACAGACGCACACTCTGTCGGTCGCACGCAGCTGGAGCGGAAAGCGCTAATGAAGCTCCCAGAACACGCCCTGGGAGCCCGAAAACGAAAAGGGAGGAGTCGCCGGACCCTCACAGGGCAGAGACGGCGAGAGGTGGCGGGCAGCGGGCAGTGACAGAGAGCAGCGGGCAGCGGCGCCAAACACGCACACACATACACACACACACACACACACACACACACACGCACACACACACAACCGCACACACACACACACACGCACGCACGCAAACACACACACACGTGCGCGCGGACGTCGTCCTCCGACACACGGGCGGCCGCGTTGCGGCCACACACGGGCGGTGCGGCGTAGGTTAAGTCAAGCGAGCACGCACGGGCCGGGCCAGCTCACACAGCGTGGATCCGCCGGCCCCCTTGTGGGGCCACCAGGCTGTAGGCCGAAGTCGGTGCCACCCATCACACAGATCGGCGGGGTCAGGGACCAAAAACATATGGGATTTGCCACATTTATAAAATCGCGCGGCACCCCTCACGCAGATCGGCGGGGTCAGGGTCCAAAAACACAAAAGGGATTTGCCACATTTCTAAAATTCGGTGGCACCCCTCACGCAGATCGGCAGGGTCAGGGTCCAAAAACATATGGGATTTACAACATTTCTGAAATCCGGCGGCACCCCTCACGCAGATCGGCAGGGTCAGGGTCTAACAAAAATTGCAGCATTTCTGAAATTCGGCGGCACCCCTCATGCAGAGCCGTAGGGTCAGGGTCCAAAACCACAAAAAAAATGATGTGCCTCATTTCTAAAATTCGGCGGCACCCCTCACGCAGATCGGCAGGGTCAGGGTCCAAAAACACGAAAGGGATTTGCCACATTTCTGAAATTCGGCGGCACCCCTCACGCAGATCGGCAGGGTCAGGGTCTAACAAAAACATTGGAACTTGCAGCATTTCTGAAATTCGGCGGCACCCCTCATGCAGAGCCGTAGGGTCAGGGTCCAAAACCACAAAAAAAATGATGTGCCACATTTCTAAAATTCGGCGGCACCCCTCACGCAGATCGGCAGGGTCAGGGTCCAAAAACACAAAAGGGATTTGCCACATTTCTGAAATTCGGCGGCACCCCTCACGCAGATCGGCAGGGTCAGGGTCCGAAAACACAAAAGGGATTGCCACATTTCTGAAATTCGGCGGCACCCCTCACGCAGATACGTAGGGTCAGGGTCCAAAAACAAACAGGTCCCGACACTGCTTCACGGCGGCGCCCAGACCTCATGATTTAGCTTTTGCATCTCCCATTTTCTGAGACAAGGGGCTGGCGGCATGGGGTGAAGCCCTTACGGATAAACTGGATCCACCCACTTGATCGACCGCAACACTCGCGAGGAAGCAGTCGCGAGGAACAAAAACGAGGGGAGAGAGGGAAAATACAAGGAAAATGGGGAACCAAAACATGGAAAACGAGTGCCACAGTAACAATACAAATCATCAAACGACTCGGAAGGCGGCAACGGCAAGAAACTTAAACACCGTACGCAAACTCGGGCCGACAAGGGGTTACACAAACACAGATACGTACACACATACATATTCACATGCACGCGTGCGCGAACATCACCCTCCGACCGCGGCGACGAGGCATCGGCCAGTGGCACACACACACACACACACACACACACACGCACACACAGGCACACACGTGCACACATGCACCTTTCCCTGGGCAGCTGCGTGTTCCGCAACACAGCGGCTCCAGCCAACACAACGGCGCTGACCAGGCGCCAAACGAGCAGGGAGGAGAGACGGACCAGGAAAACGCCGGCGCACGCGCACTCAAACACACACACACACACACACACACACACACACACACACACACACACACACACGCTTGCATTCATGGTATGGGGACACAGATTGCCCGACTCCCGCAGCGGCCGCTGTTGGGCCGAACTTCTCGTCGCAAACGGTCGGCACCCTCGGCGAGTATTCCAAAAGCGACTCCTGTTCACAATGAGCAAGGGCTGATGCTAGTCTTACTCCCATGTCCTTCCGAATTTCGACCATCCTGAACACACACGTACACGCACATCTACACACGTTCACACTCGCAGTCACACTCTCTCACACACACACACACGAACTCACACACACACACTGACACGCACGTTCCTCAGCTGGTGACGCGCAGCACGACCGCGCAATCAGTCCTGGGACGAGGGACGCGAACTCCAATTAGCGTTGAGACCTGCACCCAGCAGCGGTAGAAAACGAACGGGCCAGAAGCGGGGCCAAATACCATGCCCGCCACTGAAGAATACCACTGACGGTACAAATCCGCGCACCCACCGAAATGACCTGCCTCTGCGCCCCCTCCTCCTTCTCGTCCTCCTCCATTTTCTGCCATTGCTCCTTCCGCGAAAGCGCGTCAGCGTGTCCGTACGGAGTGGGCCCCGCAGGGCCTCTTGGGCCGGGCTCCCCCCCCTTCCCAGCCCTGCCCTGCCCCCTGACGGGGGGGGCTCTGATGGGTCGACACGTATGGGCTAAAAAATTGGGCTCCACAGAACCAAAGAACCAGGGTGCATTTTCAGGCTGGGAAAGGTCTTCTCCTAACGCCGCCACAGTGTCCAATGCCGCATAGCAGGAGGCTTTGTATGATCGATGGTTGCACTATGTGGTACAGTGGACGAACACACTGCACTTCGGATGTCCACACCCACTGCCGCGGGCACTGCACCGTGATGAGAGATTGCCCCATTTTGACGGATCGGCACAAATGCATCCTGCGTCCGCAATGCGTCGCTAGTCGCGTCGCTAGGGACGTGGAGCCTGGTGCAATGTTGCGGGGGGAGGTGCCTCGATTTCGGGGCGGGGGACAACCTGGGGTTTGGTACCTTGAATCGAATTTTATTACGCCGAACGGGACGGCGGTTGGAAAACGGCAAACCGCGTGGGACATCCTCACAAAAATTGCTGTCATGACGATTTGAACTCGGTTCGAAACAATAGAATCCGGTTCGAACAAAAGCAAAATAAGCGTTTCGCGTGGGACTTTGCTCAAAATACGGTGTCCGACCCGGTTCGAAACGACCATATGGCGGCTCGAAATCGGCAAATCGCGTGGGACATCTTCAAACAAAGTACTGTCTTCAGGGTTCGAACTCGGTTCGAAGCAATAACATTTGGTTCCAAACAGTTCCAAAACGATCATTTCGCTTGGAATTTCCTTCGAAATACGATTGGAACCTGGTTCCGCACAGCGGGATGGCGGTTCCAAAATGCCGAACCGCGCGGGGCGTCCTCGCCAAGATGGCTTTCTTGACGGTTCCACAGCGGTTCAAAACCCGAATAATTGGAAAACGAGCGTTTCGCTTGAGACGTCCTTGGAAATACACATGGAATCTGGCCACAATCAGGTCCCAGACAAAAGAATCGCACGGGACATCCCCTGCATATGGCGTGCGCTCCATTCCAAGCAACGACGGCCGCGGCGACGACGACGACGACGACTCCGACCACGACAACGACCACGACGATATGCGTTCTCGCCTCGTTGCCGGCCACGCTTGGCCGCGTCTCGGTCTGGCCGACCTCTCTCCCTTCGGCAAGGAGAGGCCCACGGGGCGGCGCTTCCCCCCTGCGAGAGGGGGACGTGCCGGGGGAGACAAAGCCACCCTTCCCCCGGGGGACATACTGCTGTCACCCCCACACACACGGACATTAGGAGCCAAGCCGCCAATCAAGGCTACTTTTTGCTTGTGTCGCTCTGAAGACGTATCAAGCAAAACCGGGCCCAAACCAGGCCAAACCAAGCAAATTGCGAGGACGCCTCAAGCAAAACCGGGCCCAAACCAGGCCAAACCAGAGGCCAAACCAAGTAAATTCGGAGGATGTCACACGCGGCTTGCGCCGCCCAGCAAAGCCAAACCAGGCCAAACCAGGGCCCAAACCAGGCAGATTTTGAAGACGTTCCAAGCAGAATCACCCAAACCAGGTTCCACCCACTCTCCTGAATCAAATTCTAATTACAGAAGTGGATCACCCCAGGCCCTCCCTGGCGCGAGTCCGTTCAGAGTTCTATGGGGGGCGCGTTTGGACCACATGTCTGGTGAGGCGGACGGGGTTGGGTGCGGAAGGTTTCGGTTGCCTTTCGGTTGTTTTTGGGGCCTTGGTGTGGCTGGAAATGTTTCCGAGTCTGTATTGAGCTAAAACATGGATGTGCTTTATGCCCGACCAGCCAACAAACAACTGACACACACACACACATATACATATATATATATACACACACACAAGACTGCAGTGGCACTTCGCGCCATGCACCTTGGTCCTTGGAGTTTGGTATGCGGGCGGAAATGGCAGGAAGGTCAAGCCGACAATTTAGCGATAATGCCTTGCTGCCTTTTCTGGCATCGCCGTTATGATAATGCTGTTCGTTGTCCTTCCTCCATGATGATTTTTCGTCATTCTCGCCATACCCTGGGCATTCTCCCCATCCTCCACAGCTCTTTTTGCGGAGGCTCCTCCTTGGAGAGCCTCTGGGGCCTCACCAAAGGTCTCAGGCTTTCTTAAAGCCTTCTGGAGGCCTCCTGGGTGTGTTCTGGGGGCCTCTGGGGCTTCCAAAGGCCAACCTGCCTCTAACCGCGGTCTCCCTGAACGCCCCAGTCACGATTTGGAATGCTTCGGAGGGTGTCTTGGGGCCATCTTGGGCCGCCATGGTGCTCTCTTAAGGCCATTTTGGAGCCCTGTTGTGCCGTTTTGGGGCTCTCTTGGACTGCCTGGTAGCCCTTTCGGATGGTTGTGGGGCGATTTGGGAGTCTCCCAAGCGGCTTCGGACGCCTAGGAGACCGCCGTCTTGGAGCGTCGGGAAGCCGAAAAGAGAAGAACCCCAAATGCACCAAAAACCT